GAATCCAGTTGCGGAATACTCGAATCCAGGTCCAAGATATCCTACGTATTCACTGGCTTTAATATCACTATTATAAGATGTCGCACTGCTCGCATCTACTTTTAATAAAATATGTATTCTTAATAGAACAAATCGATCAATAAATTCGCCAATTCATCATTTTACCGATATTTTCGTTTCTTTTCCCTTTAACAAAAATTTAAAAATCGTCCTCCGGTCATAGTTGTCAATTTCAATTTAATATTGCATATAGCTAACCATTACGAATTCTCGTTTACATGTACAAAGCAATATATCCACATCAGTATTCTGTTTTCAGTCTAGGGCCAAGTGAATCGACTCTCGATAAACGTTACTTGTTTCCTATTGGAGCAAAAAATGCAGGCGTTGGATTTATTTCCAAAACGTATATGTTATTTTGATGATTAACTTTCAAATCGACTCGTGTGCATCCACATCCGTGTACATGAATTGCATTGTATGACTTGCATGTAATTTCCTTAATTTGATTGAATAATGGATTTGCTTCGTCAACTAGTTTAATTTTGATTTCTCCAGCATCAACCAACTTGAACTTATTATCAAAATATAAAAACTGCTCATTGGATGAAACATAATCTGGAAAATCATATACAATAGGATTCAATGCATAAACACCATCAGTATTCTCAATCACTATTGCCGAATATTCACGACCAAAAATATATTCTTCAATCAAGATTTCACAACCAACAACATTTAACATTTTATGAATTTCACTCTTTAAATCGCTTGTATTATTAGAAACAGAGATTTGAGCCATGTGCAAGTTACCACATCCTCTTGCTGGTTTGACAATAAGAGGAAAAGTCTCCAGTGTAACAATATCTTCCGGAGATCTAATAACATTATACTTAGGAACAATAATGTCATATTTTGATGCAACTATTTTAAAATCTATTTTTGATAGAGACAAGAATCTACTACTAGTACCAATGATTGGTACTTCTAAGGTTTCTGCATACATAACAGCATCTATGCCAGCGACATTATCATAATGTTGACCCCACATAAAGTTAATGAGAATATCAAAATTCTCTTTTTTTATATCGTCTAATTGCTTGCATGCATCAGTTTTGGAAATAAATCGTAGTTGAAAGTCATGTTTAGAGATATATCTTTGATGGATCTTGATATTCATCATATTTCTCGAAAGGAGAATTGTTGTTCTTGTAACATGATATAAGAACATCAATCTTCATTGTGTTGCCTGAAAGATGTTTATTTATGAATCTGAAATAATGACATAGCATTGCATACACTCTAAAATAATAGATTTATTAGGGAGCTTTAAAAGTTTCGTATTTTTGTGTCAAACGATTTTAAGTTTAGTTATAGAATAAAAATCGTTTCATTCTTTTTCTACAAAACATTTTTGCAATTCAGAAGCATTCATAGAGATTTGCACTTTTTGCACAAAACTTTAGGCGAGTTTAGTTTCGTACATCATAAGTTAAACCATCGATGAACCCGCAGAACGATGGAAGGTTTCGTACATCATCACCTAAATCATTGATATCTCCGTAGAATGACGAAAGATTTTGCACCTTATCAGCTGAACCATTGATGGCATCAGAAAATTTCGGAAAATCTTGTAATAGGTTGATGCAACTCAAAAGGGAAAAGTGGATCTTGAATTCCCGGATCCTCGTGAATCCTAGTAGGTTCTGTTGCATCATGGTGGCTTCTATTAGATACTAGTGGATCTTGGTGAAAAAAGTTATCGTTATCAGACAGTGACGGTATCTCTTACCAAGTAGTGACAACAGCATGTTACCGATTACGTAGCAACAGAAATATGTGACTCTGAGTTTTTCATTATTACGAAAAGTTCTAAAAATGACCATTTTGCATTGGATTGAGTATAATCATCGTATCTTTGAAGGACGTTTTTTCTACAAAATGATTGTTACAACATTAAAGATTCTTTTTTTTATCAGCAAAACACAAACGCTTACCAAGTATACTGATATGTGACGATTCATTATTGCTTGTGATCCAATTGAGTCGATGTAAATCGGACAATGGTAAATTAGTATTGAGTGTTAATTCGATGAAATCTCGAATGATGCCGAGACTACTGAAGAATATTTGTAGATCGATATCAACTGGTTGTGAATAAATTTCATCTTCGCTAATTTCAAAATAATGTTCCACACGAAGAAGATATTGTTTTGTAGTCAACTGATCGAATGTCAACAAGTGAACATTAGCTGGCAAGCAATCCGATAGTGAGGTCCATTTTTGACGGTACATCATTGAATAATTTGCGTAGGATGCATCGAGTAAAGCATAAGTTTAAATTGGATACATGAACAATTGTTGGGCAACAACTCAATGAACAAAAGCACTGTCTGAAGGGAGTTAAAAAATGAGAATATGTTTGTCACGCACGACAAGACCTTGATTATAAGCTGTTTCATTTAATGGTTCATCTACACCGAGTGAATCATCGTAGAGTGTGCGACGATGAATCATAAGTTCCATTGATCCATCACGGATACTGCCACCACCTTCGGATCGATCTATACAGATTTTATTCACAGTTAATATCTAGTGTACTGCTACTACTTCGAAATTATTGAACCTCTTCAGATGCCTCTTCCGATTTCAATGAGATACAAACTTTTCAAAATATTGTTCTATTGTGCAATGCTTTTAAAAAAGACATCTATTTTTTGAACAGTTCCTATCTTCATGATTAGCGAATAGTTTCAGGACAAAATTCTGGAATACGAGTTTTTCGAAAAGTTAGGGGTCCTACAGGAGTCTCTGGAGAAAAAAAATATATAACATCTTCATTACTAACTATTTGAATGAGGATAATCATGAAAGAGTAATTTGAATCAATATCATTTTATTACTGGTGAGTATAGTCAATTGACCTTGATCATCTTGAATCCAAATACGACTATTAATTAGATAATAATTGCCGTTGATAGTTTCAACTACTGAATAATTCCATGTTGGTCGAGAGTTACGTATACATTCGAGTACTTCACGTCCATTAGCATCCGTATAAAATTTTGATGCATTTTCTATATTTGTATCATAATGTAGAACAGTTTCTTTGCCAACATTATCATCAATTGGAATGGGTCCAATGGTCTATTCAATTTCAAGAAAATGCGAAGTTCCTTTGAGACTTATTTCTTGATTGGTCCAACTGTTGAATACAATCACTGCCAATTGTACTATTTCCCCTTTTGTACACGTTCTTATTTCATAATGAACAATATAATGCAAGAAAATATTCTAGAAATGACTTACATATTACGCTTGATGCTCACAGATTGTGCATCTGACGATAAAGGATGACAAATTTAGGCACCTGATGCTTGAAATTCTGAACGGGAATTATTTCCCGGAAACCCTTCAAAATCAATCGATGAATTCGAGTCCTTCGAAGGAATGAAAAATAATTGACGCACCTGCATACCAATAGAATTCCTGTGCTGTAAATGGAAGTGCAATACCCTCTGCCAAATTGATAATCTGACGAAGATTGCCTTGATCATCGAATCCAACGCAAAGATGCTACGAAAATGGCATCGATTGATACATTTTTTTATATGATGACAATCTTCTCTACCTGATTCTCCAAAAAAAATGAATTCTACCTTGAGCTTCAAAATAATAAGTGCTAAAGCCAAGTCTAAGCAATAGTGCTTCGAATATGTATTGATATTCAGCGGAACTCTTTCGACCTGGTATATTTTTTGTTGTAGAAGGAATGAGAGCACGCTAAAGTAGAATATTTATTCAAAAAGAAAAAAAGAAAATGAATAATTCTTACTTGAGCTACAACAATATTTCCCAAAGGATCGTAAATCTTATAGTGTCTTGTAACAGAAATTTGGGGATAAAATGTAATTGGATGACCATCTGGATTTCAGAGTGTTAATGTGAACTATAATTAGGGATGCAGCGGTAACATTTGGTCACCGCCTAACCGTAGACGATTAACCGCTCTGAAACGAAAACCGAATCTTGTGACAAAAAGGTTTAACGACAACCGGACCTTGTGAAAAAAAGTTTAACGATAACCGAGCCTTGTGAAAAAAAGGTTTAATGATAATCGGACCTGGTGAAAAAAAAGTTTGACAATAACCGAACCTTGTGAACAAAACGATTAAACGATAACCGGAGCCTATGAAAAAAAGGTTTAACGATAACCGGACCTTGTGAAAAAACGATTAAACGATAACCGGTCTAAGACAAAAGTTGATGTAACGTTAACCGTTACATGTCGATAAACGATGAATCGATAACTGTTTTGAATAAGTAGCCAGGGTGAGGATGTGGGGTGAGGGTGTGGGTGAGGGTGTGGGTGTGGGTGTGGGTGTGGGTGTGGGTGTGGGTGTGGGTGGGAATGGGTGTGAAACGATCTACTCTCATCTACACCCACACCCTCCCACACCCACAACCTCCCGCACCCACACCCTCCCACACCCTTCCACACCCACACCCACACCCGCACGCACACCGACCCACCCACATCCACACCCCTCAAGATAGTCTTTGTTCAATGCATTATCGAGGCGAAAAGTGTGATATTCGATATACTCATATTGATGTATCATTTGATGATGAGTCAGTTATTCCTCAATCATTACTTGTTCATTATATAAAAGTTGAAAACAAGGCAGCACCAATTCAAATGAGTTTTATGAAGAAAATAACATTTGATCAAAAATCATTTTCATTATTTACACCATTAGAATTTAATATGGTCTTTATAGAAATGCTTAATCAATATTATCTTCTCGTTCTTCGAGAAAAACCTATTGTATTAGCTAAGATATCTGCCCAAATTTCATCATCTTATCGATGTGCATCAGTGTCCGACACGGGTCGGGTCAGACCTCGGGTCGGGTCGGGTCGGGTCGGGTCACGAAAAACATACTTGACCTCGGGTCGGGTCGGGTCGGGTCACGAAAAACATACTTGACCTCGGGTCGGGTCGGGTCGGGTCACGAAAAAAATTTTTGAGCTCGGGTCGGGTCGGTCGGGTCACAAAAGTTTTACGAATTCCGAACTTCACATAAGAAAAGCAGCAATTTTCGATGAGATAATCACTTCTTTATTTCGAATACCTATAGAATATGTATCGATTTACTGAGAGGATTGTCAATGTCTGAAAAAAACTCACTTTGATTGGCCAAAAACTATCCCTCACCTCGGGTCGGGTCACGATATGCTCGGGTCGGGTCGGGTCGGGTCGGGTCAGATCATGCTCGGGTCGGGTCGGGTCACAAAAAAAGTGACCCGTGTCGGACACTGATGTGCATCAATTAATGAATTATTCGATGATATATTTGTCCGTCAACATCTATTGAAACGTATAAAATCTTATCATATTCCATGCGAACAACGATCAGCATTGATTTGTTTCTATGATGATCAATATTTCTGTTTATGTGATTCTTATCGACGAGCAAATTGTTTTGAATGGACTTTTAATGTGACGAATACTTGCGATGAAGAGAAATTATGTCAAAATAATAGACGATGTTTCCTAGATGATAAAATATGTCCAATAACAGCAATGTGTATTTGTCCGGATTGTTATTATGGATCACGATGTCAATTTTCGACAAAAGGATTGACTCTTTCATTAGATGCGATTCTTGGTTATCAAATATATCCAAATTCAAATATTGGAATCACTCAACAACCATTGGTTATCAAAACTGCTATGGCGATAACGATAACATTGTTTAGTCTTAGTTCGATCAATAGTTTTCTATCAATTCTTACTTTTCGAATGCAAGCAACTCGTGATGTAGGTTGTGGTCTTTATCTTTATGTATCGTCTATCTTATCCATATTGATTTTTGTTGGATTAATAATCAAATTTACCTTTTTAATTTTATCACAAATGAAATTGACTCATCAACGTTGGTTAGTAGAAATACAATATATAATAATGGATTATCTTCTTCGAATATTGCTAAGTTCAATAGATTGGCTTCATGCTTGTGTGGCTATTGAACGTACAATGAATGTTTTTAAAGGAATTCATTTTAATAAAAAGAAAAGTTAACAATGGGCGAAGTGGATTATTTTAATTCTTTTCTTATTGACAATTATTACACATATTCATGATCCAATTTATCGACATCTTATTGATGACGAAGAAGAACAACGTACTTGGTGTATTACTAAATATTTTACATTCATACAAATCTATGATAATCTGATAAATATTCTTCATTTTTCTATTCCATTAACTATCAATTGTATTTCAGCATTGTTAATTGTTTTTATTGCTACTCGAACTCGGTCAAATGCTCAGAAAAAACAATCATATAAACAACATTTATATAAACAATTTCATCATCATAAACATCTATTAATTTCTTCTTGTGCTATTGTACTACTGACATTACCACGGCTAATCTTATCTCTTTTACCGGAATGCATGAAATCAGGAAGAAATCCTTGGTTTTATTTAATCGGTTATTTTGTTCCATTTATTCCACCATTATTAATATTTATTATATTTGTTTTACCATCTGATTTATACAACAAAGAATTTAAAAAAGCTATTCAATCTTTTGCACGACAACCTATTAATGTGTAGACATTATTATTTGACTATCATTTAAGCGATCAATAAAATAGATGAATAATCAGTATAAATATTTAACGATTAGTAGGAAAGTTATCAGCAATAAATTGTGAAATGATCGGTTTATTAAATGCAAGTATCAGTAAAAAAATTTAAATTTTGTATCAGTAAAATATACAAAGTTGATCAGTAAAAAAAAATAAGAAATTGATCAGTTGAAAAATAAACTTTACCAGTAGAAAATAAATCAAAGAGCCACAGAATAACTAAGGAGAAATTTAAAGATATGAGTGTGAGGTTGGGTTTGGATGTGGGCATCGAATAGAGATGGGTACGGTTCGGTTCGTAATTTTTTAAACCGACATCAGTTTCGATTCAGTTCGGTTTCAAACAAATACGAACCACGCCCATCTCTGTTGTGGGGTGGGTAGGTTTAGTGTAGGTGTGTGGAATGTATAGTATCCACACCCACATCCGCCAATCCCACATTAGGATTCTCGACTATTTTTAACCGGTGACATGAGCAAAAAATTCGGCAGAAGGCTTATAAATTTTGTCAGAAAATGTCGTCATATGACTTTCTGACAGACATCAAATAGAAAATGCCAAAACTATAGATTTTCTGCCATATTACCAGATTTTGTTGACAAATACTGTTTTTATTTGACTTTTTGCCAGAAAGAAAGGCGAAGAGTGGTAAAAAAACAGATTTTTGTCAGAAGCTCCCACGAGGCTATGAAAAATTTTGCAAGAAGCATTTAAAATTTTAGCAAAAATTCGGACGCTTTCCAGCTTATGATGGGGGAAATCGCCCTGCTCCATTCTTCCTACTCGCCAATTTTGCCGCACAACCATATCCACACTCTCGAGGAAAAGAAGGATAGAAATGTTTCACTCTATAAGAATTTCAAGATTATACTGACCCTTTAATGTAATCGACTGCTAATAAAATATATTTCCTGGCTTTTTAATTTATTTACAAACCTGATCAGTTAATACCTGATCATTTAAGGCCTTCCCCTCCCCCCTCAAAATAAGATCACTCATCGATTTTTCGCTTCGTCACCTTGTTAAAACACGATCTCTACCTTAATACATCGTATAGGGCTGAAAATTTCAGGGCATACTGGGGATGGGCTATTCTCGCATCACTGAAAATTTCAGCTCTATTCCTTGTACTTTGGCTAGAGATATAACAATTTTACTAAATTTTACTACACATGTCTTTTTTACGTGCGATGGCTTTCCGTATTTCCAGCGGCATTCTACCACAGTACTGTATAAAGTCAAATTTTTTTTTGTTTGAAAGAGCGTCAAAAATTGCAGGTGCTGTGAGGCTCCATGTTTTGAATGAAGCTATGTTATTATTATATTGAAAAGCACTTTTATAATTAGAGCGACATTTTTTCAGATTTTTTGAGAGTTTTTCAAGTGATCGAATTTGTCAGTCCTTTTCTCCACCTGATAGATAACAGTTTTAAAAAAAGGAGCCTCACAAGCCCTGCATCTTGACTTGCTCTTTCAAACAAAAAAAAATATCTATATATTGAATGAAGAGCCACAGAGAATTCTGGCGGACAAAATGACCTATTTTTAACCCATTTTTGACCCTTGTTTGGTTCATATCTTCGTCAAACGTCAGGATATCGAGCTGGAAATTTTACTACAGCCTTCTCACTTCAGCTCCAACCTATGCTCCAAATTTCAGCACATTTGAACATTCCTAGGCTGAGATCGATTTTTGAGGGGGGGGGGGGGACGCCTTAAGGGGACCCACCTTTCTCGACTCAAAATTTTCACATTTTTCGTTTTTCATTTTTTGTGATTAGTATATAGATTTAAATGCCCTCTATCCATTGAGCACACTTTGAGAACTGAAAACCCACATCTTATATATAAAAAAACTCGAAAAAAATCACAAAATATGCTGAAAAAACCAAAAATCACAAATTTCTTTGCGTTTTTCTCAAAATCAGTTTTTTCAGCAAAAAAATGAAGTTGTCCCCCTTTTCTCCCCTCGCACTTCAACCAATCGAGCTCAAATTTTTACTGTGGATACTTTGAACAAATTGGGGTATGTCTTTTTTTTTTCTCTCGAAAATATTCTTTCTAAGGAATTTTACCAGGTACCACAAAATTGGCACTATAAGAAAAAAATGAAAAAAACGCATTTTTTGATAGTGCCGTCAGTAATTTGGTTCTCCTGACTCTCAGGAACGATATTTTCCAAAGAAAAAAAAAGACACACCCCAATTTGTTCCTAGTTTCTGCAGAAAAAATTTCAGCCCTAAACAATGAAGTATAAGAGTTTTGCGGGGGAAAACTTTAGGTCATTTTTCGCCCTTGGGACGCAAATATCTCTGAGAAGGAAGCATTTTCGAATTCTGAGTCTATAACAACTTTTGCTCCACTCATCGAGATCTATCTACCCTGAAAGTTTCAGAAAATTTCACCGAGCCGTTCTCGAGAAACCCCAGAAAGGGGGGGGGGGTCCCCTTAAGTAATTTACTGATTAATTATTGAATTGATTGATTTTAGTATTATGCCACTTCCTGATCATTTCATTTATTTTACGGATCGCAAATCCTGTTCCCTTATTATTTCAATCGATCATCGAACATTGTTTTTGAAGGATCTCTTTAACTTAGCTTTCTGTGCAATGTTTGCTTGAATAGCTTGTTGTACAATATTTTGCAAAAATAATTCATCAGTTTTTTTTCTCATGTTTTTCTGCCATAAGATTACGTTCAATAGTCGTTAGTAGTTTTACATAATAGTATATTTAGTTGTCTATTAGGAATGTATGATAGGGATTTGAAATTTCGTTCTATTAAATTAATTAACGGTTTCACGTTTGATGATATGAAAAATGAGGGTACCAAAACTCATTATAACATGAAGAGCTCACAAGTTGCTTGGAAGTCGAAATCAATCATCAATTATTAAACGGTGACAACTGAAGCTTTCCGATAATGATCTTAAAGATATGTTACCTTTTAGGCAAAGAAAGGAAAACATATATAAACATGATAAAGGAAAAATTATACGTCAGGCAAAAGCAACAAGATCAGCGACACAATCAATCGAAATTTACAATATAGATTAACGTAAAAACATCGACGAGAGTGTAGGTGTGTGTGATGAGTAGATAGCCACGCCCACACCGACATACGGCATATAGTGAAACGAGTCCATCATGAACAAGTAGAAGCGGGACGACTACGAGAAACCTGATTCATGCGCAATCCTGTTGCACCATCAGCGTCCTTCAGAGATTCACAACTGGGTTTCCTTTATGCTACCCAAAAGCACTTTAATATCCGTCGTGATCCAGACGATGACTATAGTACTCGACGTATGTTAATCGAGAGAGTTGCTGAAGGTTTCATCATTAAAGGAAAAAAATTAGGCAAACAAAAAGAAGGAGAATGGCTTGCTCGTCAATTACTGAAGGTAAATCGTGGTACTCCACAAGAAGTCTGGGAATGTTGTGCTCGTCTTTCTTGTAAGGAATCATTTCTTTGTACGAAAATGAAGGAATACATGCGACTAGTGGGCGACAAAGAACATAAAGATCTCTGGAAGAGTAAAATTCCTGTCTATGGTCCATTGGCCTTTCTTCTTCTCTGGCGCGATGCAGGAGCTTACGCTAGAGATACGAAAATGACTGTATATCGAGGAGCCTATTTGTCTGATGATTTAATCGCACAATATTGGCAAAAATGTGCAGCCACTTCTGAATGTCAAGATCAAGTGAAATTTCCTTCATTTACATCGACGAGTCGAAATCGATTGAAAGCGGAACAATTTGGTAATGTGCTTTTTGTTATCGACATAAATGATTATAAGAATCGTGATGTGTCTGCTTATTCTGAGTATGACGAAGAAGAATATCTACTTGCTCCAAATTTTCTCTTTTATGTCCGATCGTGCATCTTTGATGAGACTAAGAAAAAATGGGTGATTCATCTTCAATAAGACTTGACTTAGCGCATGCTAATTTCTGATTGGTTCCTAATACTATGATTGCGCATCCAATCAATTATTGTGCACTTGTTTAGTTTGAAATTGACTTTTCTAGGAACCTCGTTTCAGTCGTAATATGCGGATTCATAGGATTGATTCCATCCGATGCTTTTCTTTATGAATGTCTCCTCAATTTGATGTTCGAGTTTCTTAGCGACTGTGCAAATGTTGAATTCATAACTTACAAAATGAATGGCACTTGTTTTTTTCAACAAAACAGAAGTTAATTATAATGATTCATGAGCAAACTGTTACATGTGGATATGTGGAAGTCTGAGTGTGAATGGGTGTTGATACGTGTGAAGACAAGACTCATAACCACACCATCACCAAAACCTTGCTGCATATTCATAAATATTGACTAGCAACTGACTTTCAAAAACGAGAACGATGCTCAACGTCTTGACATTTCCATCAGTGATTTTAGTAGCGTTCATTATGTTTATAGATACACTATCTGCATTCTGACATGCTCTATCCAACAAAAGAAAATTTAATATATAGAAGAAAGGTCTACAGAGAACTCTGGAGTACTAAATAAAAAATAATGCTGTGTATGAAAGATAAGAGTTTGGACTGTCTTCCCATCTATTTATCTTAATTTCGATAAATCTGGCGAAAATTGACTTTTTTTAACAGGCGATGGCACGAACTTGAAATGTAAAAGCCAATGTAGCTTTTGTTACTAATCACAGGAAGATTATTTTATTCTATCTAGTTTGGGACACATCTTATGTCACGCACTGGTTCGCACTACTATCAGTAATATCGCGGCATTTACAAGAGCCAATGGAAGCGCTTACAACTTTTGACTCTATTTATAAATAATTGTAGAGAGTATTTTTGTACCGAACTCAAATTAACTGAGAAGAAAACAGTTTTAGGATACATTTTAGTTAAAAAAAATTTGTAGTCTCATCTATGCAGCACTCTGAAAAAAGAAGCCGCCGGTATAACCTACATTATACCGATCGGTATTTTTTTTATTTAATTCCCCCGAGGTTCAATAAGAAAATAGTTCATATATTATACAGAGACGTCATTGATATGTATAGTCTGTGATCATACATCAACATCTGTCATTGCCTGTGGGGAGGAGATTCAAATTTTTACCCTTATACTTCAATCAAAAAAAAACTCAGTTTTAGATGCAGCTTGCACATAAGCTATTTTTATTTTTATTCATCTTAGATTTTTGAATTGAACAAAACCAATAAACATCGACTTATTTCAGATCGAGTGAATTTTAAATTTATACATTGTTAGCTAATTAATCATTGAAAAAAAAAACTATAATTAAAATTATCAAACTACAAAAAAAACCAAACAAGCGATATTGACATCAGACTGGTTTTTTTTTATTTAAGAATATTTTTTAAATCTGTCATTAATGATGAAGAATTAACTTCTGTTAGTAAATTGACTATTTATTCTCTATTTTGATTTAATTTATATTGCATAAGTTTTAGTTCATCGACTTGTACGTGAATTTTAGCATCATTGATTGATAATCGGATAAAGAGAATCCACTACACAAAATACTTCTTCTGATTTAAAAACATCAGTAAAATTCGATGAATATGTGAATATTGTTATTGGTTTAATTATCATTTCTTGTTGAAGAATATGAATTTCATGTTTATAATTTATCAATAATTTTTCTAAATCAACAATAACATCATTATTTTGAGCTCCAGCATTCTTTTTTTGTTTTTTATTCTTGAATAAAATGTTCAAAATATTCCATAATATTATCTTTTATTGGACAAAGTACATTTATATACGAAGAAATTCTACTAATTGAGTACAAACTATCAGAATAGATTCCTGTTCTAATTTTTGAATCTTTGATACGTTGTTCAAGAATTTTAGTTAGAGATTGAGCGTTATTATCCCTACTCATATCACTATTAGTCATAAATTTAGGAAATTCCTAAGTAATATGGATATGTTCTTGCCAATGACAACCATATTTTTTTACAATTACCTAAAATGATTCATACAATAGTAAGAAAATGAAGAAATTATTTTGTTCGAAATCGATCAATGAAAGATTAAAAAGAAAATCAAATGTTTTGTTATGAAAGATATTACTGAATAAAAATTCTAAAATTTCATTAAATCTTCAAAGAACTGTAAAAGTTTATCATTTGATAAAATAAAACAATGCTGACCTATTTTTAATATCAATCGCTAATAATCTACTTATAACTAACGACATAATTCCATATTAAAATAAAGAGTAAAACGAATGTATCAAAAAATTAGTTAGTGTGATCACTGTAGGATAAAAATGTGAAACACAATGTAGCTATTTGTTGCTAATCATAGAAAGATTGTTTTATTCTATCTATTTTGGGATACTTTTCTTCACCATCTTTTTACTTAATCCTCCAGAAATACAATCTGTGACGCGGGTAATAAATTCAAATTTTTATTCTAAACTTTAACACTGACAAGAAAATACCAGAAATCGATGGAACTTGGGCGCAGTATTTCGTATCGACGTTTCCGAATTTTTTCAGTGACTTTCAATCAACTTTCTACTCTTTCCGAAGTCCGGAATCATCGACCTGGTATTATCATTTTCTCTTCTCATATAACAGGGTATTTCACATCTCGAAACAGAAGTACGGCTATAGAAACAAACTCTTTACTGATTTTTGTAATATTATAAAACTTTGGGTGGTGAATAAAATATACAGTCTAATGATATCTCAATAAAATGGAAAACTATTTGTTCCATTTCTATGATCTTTGAGTATGAAAATCTTTTTCTAAACAAAAAGTCTATATAACTTACTTGATGATTTGTCTATAGCATCACAGTCTTTTAGTTGTCGTTGATTAATAGTCTCCTGTTCCACTCCTATCATATCATAAAAATCTAGATGATATTGACTTACATAATCAAGTTTTTATTCATCATCAATTATGATTACTCTGATACATTTATCATTTGTGCATACCGTTCGTGGATATTTAGATGGTACAATTTTTGCATCTTTTTATAGTAAAATTTGCGATGTTTGAGTATTATTTGATATTACATTTTTTTTAAAATGTTGTTCAACTAATTGAAGATTTTCTTGAATGAGTGTAACCATTTCATTAATGGGTTTCGAAAATTTTCGAATTAATTGTTCTACTTCACCAAGTGAATGTGTATCACGAATAGTAAATTTATTAGATTTAATTATACGAGATATAAGACGTCTAAATTCTTGAATAGTGTTATTCCAACGATTACTATAATCTTTTCTTTGTTCAAGACTAAATTGAATTCCATTTTTTTATAATGTCAAAAATCGAAATACTTCAATATCGAACAAAAAAAAAATGAATTTTCTTTTGAAAATGGTACATCAATATTATTCCATTTAAATATTCAAATTGAATTATATAAACACGGATATCTTCAAAATTTTTAATATCTTGTGAAAAATCTCTTAGATTACCAATGCCTAGTGCATCAATTATACGTAATTTTCTATTATTAATTCGAAAAACAAAACTTCAACATTTTCTTGTAGATGAACAATATAGAGAATCTTGCTGTTCACTTTCATTCGATGTACCAATAGGTATTATTTTTTCTTCATATGTATTTTTATCCGTATAAGCAAACCATGCTGGAATAATGTCTTGTAATTTTCTATCAATAGCTTCATCAAGTGAATTATAAACAAGATAATTAGATAATGCATTTAATAAAAGTTGTTTTTCCAACACCTCTTTCATCCAATAATAATATATTTATGTCTTCTATCATTGAACTGTTTGTTTGACATATTCCAGACATATTTTGAATTGATCTAAAGTATTAACATATAAATATTAATTTATTATCGATGTAAAGCTTAATTAATGCCATACAAAACTATTCAAACAAATATCAAATCATTCATATGAGTCATAAGACAAAAATTTAATGAAAGAAATACTCGAGGTGTTCAGCTTGATTTTGATTCATTCAATAGACTATATTGAGATAGGAAAGAACTTCAAAGAGTTCACGCTCATGGCTTACTGGCAAAAATTTATGATCATTTTACTAGAATTTCTATTGAAAAACAATCATTTTCAAAAAAAAACCAAAATGAAGGTTTGACACTTTAACTATAAATAGATTAAAACTTAGAACTAGTGGCTTTAATTATTGGAAAATAATTCAACTTGTTGTATTAATTAGGAATGTCGTTGTAGATCGGTTCACTGTTCACTCCTAATAGCAATGCACTAGTTTATCTAGGCTTGCATCTATAGAATAACAATGAAGATGGTAATTGTAAATTCATTTCAACTTTTTCGGTTGGGGAGGTCTATTTCAATAAAATATGACTAAACCGTGAGAACTAAATTGTTCTCGAAGTAGAAAACTGAACTCAAAAATTTTGACAAACTTCGATTGATTTGGATTTCTGGACTCCGAAAACCTTTAATCTATTTTTATAAAATTCAGCTATTTTCTTGAAATAACGTCCTCGATCAAAATAATCGAAATCAATTCAAGACTATCATAGTTTTATTACGTGTTCATCATTGCATTTCTACTATTCACTTGCTGAGACAGAATATTATGCTTTTCTATATTCAACTAAGTCTCGCTCTTGGTTATAATCGTTTTAGTGATTCGGAATTTCTTTCAATCATCAGATTTTATTTGTATACGTCGAATAATCTTCAATAACATGCTGCAAAGTCTCCAGAATTCAATAATGATGAAATAAGTTGAATATCTTCGAAGTTGTAGAATATTAAAGTATCGCTATGAGTGTATATCTTTTCACTAGCAAATAGAAACTTGACATAAGTCATTCTGGGTGTGGGTGTTGGGTGTGGTTTTTCTCTTCACTAAGAGCCACACCTCACACTGACTTCAAATTTTCCATATGCATTCAAACCTATTCAACTTGTCGAAAATCAATTCGCCTGACTAAGTATCTGATGAATCCTTATGTGTTAAGCTGCAAATGTTTATAAATCGTTCTCTCAATGACGATACGACATAGACCAGTTGAGACTTGAAATATATAAAAAATTTTATCTTAGTTACATGTTTATCGAACAATGGTTTATCTTCGACTTGTTGTATATCTTCAGGAAATAATGCCAACCATCTGATGAGTATACCAAAAAGTAGAGGATTAAATTAAAAAACGAAGGTTAATTAAGTATGAAGTGCGATACTTATTTCAATACAGGAACGAAAATTTTCGATATTTTCATAAAATATGGGCGTATCGATTAGATTGACATTTAATAATCCTAAAAGTTTCAATAAAAATGCATATATCTTTCTCAAGATATTAAATTTTCAAAAGAACACAAGCAATTGAGTCTATCTCGAAATTGAACATCTCGAAAAAGACATGTGTGTGTTTTCGTTGAAACTTTCAAGATTATCTAATGACTATTAGATTTATGTATAGGAAACGATTCCAGCGCAAAATTCTTCATTTTACTTTTTTCGTAAATGAGTGAAAGTAAATAAAAATTCCAGTAAAACAGCAATAAATCTTCTCCAGTAGACCATGGGCTCGAGCCCTTTTCCTTACCTCAATGTAATCTATCGAATGAGTAAAAATAGAGGTGAATTCCTCGGATACTTCTTTTGTAAGTTAGAAAAAAAACAATTCTTTTTCTTTTACTTAAGTAAAAGAACACGAAAAAAAACATGTATTACTTTCCAATCATGATCTTTATGAAAATTTAGACATTTTTTTTTCAAGCATTCAGTCAGGCCAGTAATGAAAAAGTTGATGTATTCATGCATCAAGAGCACATCTTTTAACATACTAAAAAAAAAACAGTTTGTCTTCTAAGAAAAAAAATTTGAAAGTATTAAATTTCATCAATTTAGTTCTTGTCTCATAACAAAAATTTTAAACAACTAAAATTTGTTTTTCTACCTGTAAAATCGGTAACATTTTCATTATTTGTCTAACTAAAGTAGTTGACTATGAATAAAATCAAGCAAGAGAATAAGAGAAATGTAAAAGAAACCTGAAACATGTAAGACTAACACATGTTAAATAAAGAAGAGAAGAATTATGTTTCGTTTTTGTCTTGTAGTTTAAAGAATGGTACCAAAACATGATTGATTTCTTCATTTTTTTTGTTCAATCTTTTTTCTATTGAATAAATCTTTGCAGAAAAAGAAAATGATTTTCAATAGACTTGAAATAAAAGTACGATATCTTCAATAAAGTTTTTCTCTCTTCTAAATTGTTAAGAATATGTAGAGAGTTAAAACCTGTTAGTAAATCAAAAAATTGTTCACCATTCTTAGTTGTCTGTGCTCGACTTTTTTCATTCTTGTTATGAACTTTGATTTATTTGATGATTGAAAAGATTTTATTTTATATCGTTTAGTCATTAAAATATTTTTTTGAATAAGTTTAACTTTTCAACTATAGATCGAGAAAGTTGATCTATCAACAATTGAGCTTAATCTAAAGATTATTGATCGTTAAGAATATGAAGATTACATAGATGAAAATGAATAATAAGCAAGAAAATTTTTCAGTCGATTTATTCCAACTTTGACGGTTACTTTTTCAAAATCTTTTCTCAAAAAAATTGAATCCTTGTTTATAAAGAGCTAGAAAACAAAAGAATTCATTATCAAACATATATATGTATTTTTTCTACGATAAAATATTGACCATAAATTTAAAATACAAACATAATATTATCTTTTGCATGATGATATAAATGTCTTAATTATTCTTTAATACAATAGCAAGAATAAACATTTAATCATGTTATTGATAGTCTAAGAAGAATATACATGCCATTTAAATATTCATAATAACTAAGAATGTGGTACAAAATGGACGATTTCCTATTGGAAATATATATAACTCCAAGATACAATAAAACCTCTGTAATATGAGCAACATATGTTTATATCATTTACGTCCAGAACGAGAGAAAAATGATGTTATAATAAACAATCATGAGACTTATATAAAAATGGGATGCTAGTCATGGGTATTTAAAACAAGAAAAGACTAGAACAACAGCAACATTAACTCACATATTCACGCTCACACTCGATATTGCGTCGCAATGGCGATGATTATTTTGAAAACATTCATCGTAACCTTATCGTAACGAAAACAGTATAGTGTCTTTGATGATCAGAATCTTCCAAGATCGTATGTGATCTCATACGATCATAGTTGGATGTTATATAAATAATGTTTTTTTTTTTCATTTAGATTGAACTCAACAACATGATCAAGAGTAAGTAATAATTACAATAAGATCATATAGGAATCGTACTGTATAGTTTTATCAAAAATGCTCGTTTTAAGATTGGCATAGGAGATTGTAAAAGATCTAATACGACTTTCATACGATCTTGTACGCCCACACAAGATTTTATAGTAAAATTATTTGACCTGGGGGATTCATTCACATTATAACCATTTCAATTTTTCTACGGACTCTTCATTATAATCGACTATTAATAAATTGTATTTACTGGTTTTTAAATTTATTTACGAAGCTAATTGATTAATGAGTGTTAATATACAAGGTGTTACAAAAATCTAGCCGAAAAAGAAACGTGAATATCTATTTAATCATTCAAGCAATTTACCTAAAGTTTCTATAGTTTCATTCCATATTGATTGAAGTTTTATTTCATATCAGTTTGTTTCTAACAGGTGTACAATGCCCAGGACCTGCATCTTTGTGAAATAATATGGATTTTCATCTAGCATAATCTTCTTACTTCTGGACTGAAAACAAGGCTTAAGACCATCTGCCCTATCTCAAGAATCGCTCAACCAAAAATGATGAAACTTTCAGGGTAGATAAATATCGACTAGTCGACTTAGAATTCACAGATGCTTTCTTTTTTATGAGATATAAGAGGCACAAGTGCAAAAAATGACTTGAAGTTTTTTCTCTTGCAAACAGCTAGAATTCATTTTTTATGGCTGATTTTTTTTGTAGCAACTAGGACCGAATTGGGGTGTACACATTTTTTTTCTTTGAAAAACATTGTTTCATTCGCTTAGAAGAAAAGCAGCTAGGAGGATGCATTGCAGACCCACACAACACATTTTGATAATGATGCATAAGAAAATCCAAAAGATTTCCAATAAATGTTATATAATGTTTTTACAAATATTATCAAAAATGAGAGGTTTGTGTATTGCATTTATGAAATAAAACTCCAATAAATATGGAACGAAACTGATAAATGTATAAAACTATTAAATTATTTGACAATAAAAAAAAAGGTTTTCTTTGCCTGTCCTCAATTTTCACTTTTGTAGATTTGGCAACAATGTTAGATGTCAAAGATTGTTTTTGTTGATCCAATAAAGATCGAAAATGAGTTAATTCAACTAATGATAAATTTTGACTTGTTCATCGAATAGAATCATCTTGCAATAAAGGTACAACTTGTTGAGGTTCAACATTTTCTATAATTTCACTCATATACATCAAACTTTGACCATTAAAATTAGTAAATAAACGAGACATTTGCAGTAAACTATGACTAATCAACCAATCTTGCACATGTATTTGATTCCAATCGAAAATATTTTCCGGAAGTATTAAGACTGATGATGGTTCATGTAATATAGATGTTATCGGAATCATAGTATTAACTTCTTTCTTCAAATCAACATCCAGAGGACATATCTCATTGATGATTGGAACTTTCAATTCTTTAATTAATATTTTCATAGCTTGTGAAAATTCATATTTAGTAAAATCTATATAATTTAATTGACCAGCTAGAAATAATAACCAATCTTCAGGTTTTATTATGTTCTTGTAAAAGAATTGGAATGATTCTAATTTGACGTTGAAATGCATAATTTGCGTCTGTTCAACAATAATTACTTCTTCGATATTATTCACTCATACAAATTAGAATTGTATTTGATTGTTCAATAGCTTGTGCCATAGCATCCATAATATTACCATGCATTTGATCAAAATCAATCTATAGATGATAATCTATATTAATAAGTTCATTATATAATTGTGTACAAAAAATTTTATCTTTATGTGAATAACTAATCATAATTTCAAATTTTTTTTTATTATCAATTATTAATATTGTACGATCTTCATGATTTATTTCTAAATTCCATAATATTCGATATGCAATTTTTCGTATTTTATTATCAGATTCTTTTGGTAGATAAATTAATTTTGTTATAAATGATATATTTAAACGAAGTTGTTCTTGAATATCATGATTGAATGAAAGTGCCCATAGAATATCATATACTAGTGGATATTGATTACATATTTCAATTAAAAATGATAATTTATTTGTGTCAGCTATCTGCTGTTGAAAAGCATCGGTTTTTGATAAATTTAACAAACCTCAAAAAAAAAAAAACAAAGATTCACTAATGAAATTTAACCATCAATTACTTATGACTTACATTTTAATATAAGTAATATTGGTACTTGATGAAACTTTTTTGATGGATGTTGCCATGCTTCTTCAAGTATATTAAAGAATAAACTACTTGCACTATTAAAAATTTTTAAATCTTTCAAACTTTCATCATATAGAATTTCACCAAATATTACATATATACATAAACGCATTCTATCACAAGGTGATATTTTAGCAATAGTAAAAAGTGTATCTGATAACGAAATCTTTGAACGTAGATACCAAAGAAAATCTCCATTTTGTGCTATATTTAGTATACGAAATAAAATTATGTCTAAAAGAATTGTTGGATCATTTGATCGTTGTATCGTAATCGATTGATAAAATAGCTTATAATCAATAATACGAATAAGTGCATCGATATATTCACAAGTTGCTAATTCAGTTGGAAAAACAATTTTTATTTGTGATCCCTTTTCTCCTCCCCACCAACAACAAGCAGAAAAAAGAGCTGTAAGACGTGTAATACAACTCAATAATTGTGTACTCCATGATTCTATAGTATAAGTATGAAGAAGAATTATTTGTATGTAATCAACACCAAAATGATGCATTAATTCTTCAGGAGTATAAGGAAAATCTGGAGCTTTTGCAAATAAATATTGACTTACAAAAAATGAACATGTTTTAATATAGAATAACTGTTTGGTAGTAAATATAGATTGTGATAATGGTGATTGACGAAGTTGATTTAAATAGAATTTATATTGATCAGTCATAATATAGTTACGTGCCATATAATGATTGATATGAATGATGATAGTGGACATTTCAAATTCAGGATAAACATGTAAGAAATTGTAGAGATTATCATACCATAGACTAACTATGCTAATAAATGGATCATTTTCATCATTTGTTTTTTCAAATTTTTCGAATATAGCATTAATACAATCAATTGTCTCAGGAAAAAGTAATGAACATTTCGTATTAGCTTCAATATCTTCATAATTAAAAATTAAATTCTTATTAAATAATGCAAGTGTACTAAATAATTCTAAATAATTTGGTTTTTCAATCCATTGATGAAAATTTTGACTAAATAATTGCCATGTCCAATGTTCAAGAATGAGTATTGATTGATAGAATTGTGAAATAAATGATGATAATAATTCAGAATTTTGTTTTTCTAAAATATATCTTATTTCACAAAGCTTATCATTGTATGATGAAGATGTTTGAAGTGTAGTAATAAGTTGTTCAAAATTATTTTCCATCGCTAATGTTTACAATATGTTTTTTCCTAATGCGAATGTTTGCATGCATGTCGTTTTTTTTTTATCGATATATATATATATATTCATTTTGCTTGTTTTATTATTCTGTTTGTTGTTATTGATTAAAGGTTAATGATCACGTGGCGAATAAGTAAAAATGACGACACACACCGCTTATAGCTACGTCAGACTTATTAATAACAAACAATTTAGTTGCTTTGATGTTGTAGCAAGCATTTCATAAGATTTATCTATTAAATCATAGAAACAATTTCATATTGATACCAATTATAAACAACAATGACTTTTATAAATAAATTTAATAGTTTTTTTGTCAAAAAAAACACCGGATTTTTCTTAGACTATATACCATTTATTTTGAAGATTAGGACAATTAGAAAGAATATTTCTGTTATTTCATAGGTTTTTTTCCAATTCCAAAGAAGGATATATCCATAAGTTAATGAAGTGAAATTTTTGTACAAAAATCAATATAAAAACAACATAGTTCGACATGATAATTTAAAAATTCTATTTTGTTTCTGTTACTATTCGTGCTTATCAGTTGCGAAGGAATCGCTAACTCGGTAAGTTTTTTCTTTTTCTTAATCCATCAAAAATTCAAACTAAGACAGTTTCACTAATGATAAATTTTCATTCGTATATCAAAGTGAATCTCTCTTTAGATAAAGACAAACTTTCTCGTATTTTACTATTTTGTTTATGAAATCGTTCAGATAGATTAGATTCTAACCATAAAAAAAATAAAAACTCGATAATACATCTATACAAAATAATGTTCAACTAATTAATCCAGTACATGAGTTTGATTCCTCAATCTAGAATATTTTCAAAAAGTTTCAATGGTGACGAAAGTCTTTCTAAAGTAAGACAATGGGAAGTTATTTTCTTATCTAAATTGAAATAGTTCTCTTACTTATTTTGAATATAACTGAAGTTCGCATTCAATTCTATGAGTTATATTTCTATAGTTTGAGGGAATCCATATTTAGTTAGATTATTATGCATTTGATTAAAATCAATTCAAATATAATAATCAGTTTTGACAACTTCTTCATAGGTTATTTTTATGTGAATAACTGATCATAATTTCATAAGTTTTTTATTCTTCATTTTTCTCTTGTTGATAGGTCTCGATTATTTGATTCTATCCAGGGCAAACAATCATATAGTAAGATCTTACAAGATCGCACCTCTGATATTGTATGATCTTGTAATATCAGATGGAAATCGTACGAAAAATCGTGATATCTGCAAAACTTATATCAAGTCTTGATATACGATTCCTATTGTACAACTCAAGCGAAAATAGTACCGGAATAACAGGATACGAAATGTACAATAATAGATATTACGATACCAACTTGATCATATAAGATCAGATCATTTCTATGATCTATGAAGCATAAAAAAATCAGACAATATGGATCTTATAAGATCGTGCAAGGTCAGATGCTAAATGTGACGAACTTGAGAAGAGAAGTGCCTGTGAGATAATGATACTCGATTTATTTGGCCTCTTCCCACAACAAACCGTACCGTTCACACGCAGAACATACACTTATATAGGATAGATAGACAATGAACATTAATCAAGCGTAGTGGTCACACCAGTATAGAACGGTTACAAGGTCAATAGAAAGAAAGAAATAGATGAAGATGATACATTTCATGATACTAAAGTCAGCTTAAAACTGGATATTTATCGACTTCGTCCTGTTTATTTTTGAATCCTAGATTTCTAAGTCTAATACAAACTCCTTATTGTTATCATAGAAATGATATTTTTATTCCACTACGCACAAATCCACGACTGCATGAAGAGAAGAAAGCTTTACCGAATAATGATGTACGTATGGGTGTGGGTGTAGTTCTGTTCACTTCAGCCAGATAGTCACATCCACACTGGCACCCCACACCTATCCTTGATGGATTGATTATAAATAATTTAAATTCATTAGATGAACTTATGATTTTTATGTTTATATATATATTGAATAACAAGTGCATCAGTCGGTAGATATTGTTTATTTCGAAAATCTTGTTCTTATTGATATAGCTATATAGTTGAAAAGATTACTTCCTCGACACGTATAAATCTTTCATTTTGACCTCTGCTGAGAACTGTATGCTGTTGAAAGTTTATATAATTTTCTTCTTTCATAACATTTAAATACTTTGATGTGTCTCAAATACCGAAAACTCTTTTCCTACAGCAAAAAGTAATAAACTTCCTTTTCCTCCTTTTTCAAAAGCTATCCTCCAAAACAGTTTTTTAAAAATTCTTCTAAATCTTCCTTTTTCCAAAATGACTGTTCACAAGGCAGCCGTATCTTCATATGTACAACTGAACACTCCAATGACTTGACTCTGATTTGAAACATATCCTTGTATTTCTGTACTTGTTCTTGTACTTATTCTTTTCTAAAACAAATTTGAATGAGAAATGTTATTGACAAGATAGATCGATCAAATCTAAACCAATTTCTTCAAAGTTCTTGTTCCTAATTTATGGGTAAAAAGAAATAAGATATGAGGTGTACTTTGAACATGATCCGAATCTTTGCTTGTTTACATATTGGTCGATCAAATCCGTTTCCAACAAAGATTTCATTCAAAATATGGTAAAAATTGCATGACGAGTCCTTGATAATTCGTTTCAAACTAGAACAATTTCTAGATTATTCGGAAGCAAAATTTAAGACAAAAATGGCCATGCGTTTTATAGATTGCAGTTGTTTAATAGACGTTTCTATTGATATTACTTTTTTTCCACTTGATAGAATGCACAAATTCACCCCATTTTGAATAGATCATTATATTTAAAATCTAGAGTATGTGACGATCAAAATTCTTCATCTAATATAGATAAAATATTGTTTATTCATAGAAATAAGAACTTCAGAAAAGATTGAGTTAATGCAAAGCCTGCTATCCATCACTAACTCAGATTATGATGCAAAAACAATATTTTCTCTATATCAGATGAAGATTTTCGATCCACACATATTCTAGATTTAAACACAATGATCTATTCAAATTGAGGTAAATTTGTGCATTCTAGCAAGTGGAAAAAAAAGTAATATCGAAAGAAATGTCTATTAACCCTTTGGCTGTCGCCGACGTACATATATACGTCACGAGCCTTATCTTCGCGTGAACTAAAGCAATCATTCATAATGTATGTTTTTCACTCGCATTTGTGTAAAAACAAACGTGAGGCACCGTGCACATCCCAAATCATCATTTTATTAAGGCATGCTATAGAATTATTCTAGAAACAACAAATAAATTTGCTGCAAAATCGTTTCTTCCTTCTCTTATGTCGACAACCAAAGGGATAAACAACTACAATCTATAATGTGAAAAACTTGCTTTACAAAAAATACGGTTTCTCCGACTACTTTTTGAACTAAACGTCGTCAAATGATGAACAATAATTATAATAAGAAAAAAGATACTATTTTTTGTAGAGAATTAAAAGACGAATCTTTTCATTAAAAAAATAATGTCAAAATCAACAGATATTGAAAGAAATATTCTCAAAATATCGAGAGGCCCATTTTTCCTGGGACGCCCAATATTTGGCTCAAATTCATCTTCTGGTTACCATGTTTCACTCATTCACTCTATCGAATCCATCGTGAACAAGCACCAAAGGACCTTATTCGACCAAATCAAAATGCATAACTATAGATTAGATATCCATAAGTGTCCAGTTGTTTCTAGTAGTTTATTTGTTACCATTACTAGATTCTCAATGGATCCAAAGACTTTAGCTAGATTTCGGCTCATTCCAATGGGTTCTCGCAGTCCACAAAGATTGTCATTAGCATTAGAAAACGATCATAGTGCAAGAACAAACGTGTATCTTTTTTCAGGATAAAAACTTTCGATCATATAATGTCAAATTTTGTTTTTTGATAAAGTATTAGATGATGGAAAAATAAGATAGAAAACACTGCTATTCAACCTAACCCATCTGTTGTTTTATCAACAGATGTGCTACATAAAACTTTAAAGAGCAGATTATCAAAGCATTAAAAAAAACATGTGAATCGTTTGAACGTCTCAAACATTATCCACATTCACTTCTCGATCAAAAATTAGGATCGAAACCGAAAAAGCTTTATCCCGTACTTCTCTACTCGAGTCTCTGTGAGAATATCGAATAACTACAGAAGAACTGTGACATGTGCCTATTTACTTAAAAAGCTCTACGAAAAGCATCCATATTCAATCTATCTTATTGTATATAATGTGGCTGATTTTCTCTATGTTTACTCTTCATTGTGTGTTTTGGCCCTTAGTGTCGAATATAACATAGATGCTAGTATATACAATTTGTTTATCTGTCGTCTTCATCTGCAGATAGTCAATTTATTCGATGTATTTTCAGTGTGAAACTACATATATATATCGTCGATAACTGATTATTCAAACTATGACGTTCTGAATGATTTTCATTGGTTTCGGTTAAAAATTCTATTACTTGCAAATGAGGGTGATAGGACTCTGAAGTTCGATGGTAGACTGAAGCTCCTCTTGGCTCTCCTTCGGTTACATTGCTACACGTATATACTGTATGGTAATGAGAGTGAAGATGTGATCTGTAGCCAAAGAGGAATTCGATTTTTGGCTAAAGTACGAAAAATCATTAAATCTATCCCGACTTGTTTTAAGTCCAGAATATAATTTTCCTCTCCAGCTAAATAGCTATGCCTGTTCACTACTGATAACGTTCGACTTGTGTCTTCCTTTTTTTTTTTTACAATCAATATTTTTGAAGAAAATTCAATCATGGTTTTTTTTTGTCTATGTGAAATATTATTTTTCTTTTTTTTTTTTGAGCATCTTTTTTTCGATATCGTATAAATGAAAATAGTATCACAGAACAGATAAACGAAAGAAAAGAAAGAAAAAAAAAGACAAAATATTCATCCATAGACTAATTTGACTATTTAGTGAGGTCATTCATG